AATGCAAAGTTGAGTTCGTGCATGGTTTTGGAGGTCGTCTCATGCCCTCCTTACCCCTTACCAAGGGCGGGTCAAAGTTGAACGCAAATGGATCAACTTTTGGTAGCCAGGACTTGCTGGTTGTGGCAGGGTCTTCCATACTTGGAGTCTGGAGAGCTTTGTCAAGGAGTACTTCTCGATTGCATGAGAGTATGGATGGAGAAAGCTTTGGTTGGTGAGTAACTCAGCATATTTGGTGGTTATCTTATAGTCTCGATAATGAAAGGTCCTTCGACATTGACGTTATGTTTCAAACAGACTTTCCAAATGTCATTGCTATTATTCATATCTATTATGAGGGCAATCGTGTTGTCGATTCACCAGCCTTAAGAGCTCCTAATAATGTTGCTTCGACTTGGAGGTGGGTAATTTCAGATTTTACTTTCGCGTTTATGTTTTTTGATATGTATTGCAAGTCTAATTATAGGCTTTGTCTGTCTTTTGAATAGATGATGAGGATGTTAAATAGGTGCCGACTTAGTTGGAACGTCTAGGTGCATCTACTGAGTACTGATCCCTACTTTTAACAATCTTATGAAAAAGGCATGTTTCCTCAACTGCTGTGTCCCACGATTTCTCTTTGGGTGGTCTATTCGAGCCTTGGACCATGAATCAATCCAATAGTTGCCTGGTCTGGTCTCTTCAAAGAATTTCTGCAAGAGAAAAAATGGCATATTATAAATATCGGGCATGTAATTTAATAGGAAAATATTCCAATTTTATTCTACAGAATAGAAGAATTTCCTTTGTTTATCTTGATGAAAAGTTGCAAAATTTCCCCCCTATTCTCAAGAATAGTAAAGGGTTTTCTTTATATAATACTATTATTTCAAACATACTCACGAACAAACAAGTAGGGACTGCGATTTCCACCAGTTTGATCCAAAATTCCATTTTCACGTAGCTAAAACTAGATTAAAAATACATACAAGGAAAGCGAAGTAAGAAAGAAAATGTCGAGAAACCTTCAACAATACTCCACTGAGATATTCTTTGTCAATAACCATTTCTTCATTGTTAATGCCCACGTCTTCACTTCATATATGCAGGCTGTAGGAAATGACAGCTCGACCACCTCGATCCCAAGATGAGGAAGTTTACGGTTTTATATCAACGTCGGTGATTTGAAGTTTGAAGAAAATGGATTGCTCTACATGCATAGTTAGATTGGTTTGGTGAGTCCATACACAAGTGGTGCAACTTTGCAACATGATGGTTGTTTTATAAGATATGAACATTTTGATTTCTGGGGAAAGTTAGACACAAGTCTTAGGCAACAAAAAATAAATCATTTCGTCTAAAAGTTCAAAATGAATTTGTTTATTTAAATTTTGTTTTTAACCGTCCCATCATGTGCACGTTGGACTTCATTTTTTATCAAATATCTCGTACATGATACATGCACAATTTTTCATCAAGGGATGAAGACGAAACTTGAACTCGGCATTAGACTACTTTTATTAATACTCCATACATGTATTAGCTTGTCCTAGAATTTCTACTTTATAGGAAGGCATTTTTGTGACAATGAGACGTGCATAATTAAGACCTTTGATTTTTTCTTCTTCAAGATAGTAAATAACTGCAACGTCCAACCACGAGTGAACGCAAGTCTTACTACAAGAAAAATGGTCTTTTGCAACATATAAAAATCAATATTTATTAAAAACATGTTGCTAAAAGGGGTCTATTACAACGATCAATGAACGTTGCTAAAACATTAATGGAAACGATCGATGAGGGTTGCTAAAACATTAATAGCAATGGATATAGCAATCTTTTGTAATTTGTATTGTGTTGCCGTATCATTTTTCGTTAATGGGTGAAGACGAAACTTTTGACTACTTACATCAATACTCTATACGTGTATTAGCTTGTCCTAGAATTCCTACTTTATAAAAAACTTAAAAGGAGGGCATTTTTGTGAGTTGTGACAATGAGATTTGCATAAATAAGACGCGTGATCTTCTTTCAATATCTGCAACCAATAGTGGACGTAAGTCTCACTACAAGGAAAATGACATTTTGCTACATGTAAAAAGCAATATTTGTTAATTACATGCTGCTAAAAGATGTCTATTACAACGAGCAACGAACGTTGTTAAAACATTAGCGATAGCGTGCAATGAACGTTGCTAAAAACACTAACAGTAACTGTTAAGTAGCATTGCTAAAACATTAACAGCAACAGATATTTTTGCAACGTATATTGTGTGTTGCCCTTTCCGTCTACTCAATCGCAACATCGAAACTCACTACATACAGGTGAACGATGCGAAAATC